GAAATAGAAGAGAATCTTTTATTTTAACTAAAGATCTATTATTTACATCTAAATCTAAATCTAAATCTGTCAGAAATGGCGGCCATCTTGGAAAACAGCTGTTGTTTTTAAACTTCTAGTGGCTAATGGGATTTTTCCAATTAAATAGATATGGCAGTTGTCATATTTTGGTTGTTATTTAATCATTTTTTTCTTGTTAAATAGAAGAGAATCTTTTTTTTCTTTTTTAACTTTACATCTTTTATTTACGTCCTAAAATGTAGGATTGAGGTGGATGTGTTTCCTTTGCCAGGAATGGCGGCCATCTTGGAAAATGGTGGTCATTTTGAAATTTCAATTGAATCAAATGCCCCAAGGTCACACATTATTAGTAGTAGCATTAGATAAAGCAGTTGTCATATTTTCATTATAATTAATTTCTTTTCTTTTTAAAATGTATTTTTCTCATTTTCTCTCAGTTCGTAGTTTGTTACGTGGAAAAAAGAAAAATCATAATGAAAATAGAAGAAAATCTTTTTATTTACATCCTCAGAGTCAAAGATTCAACAGGAGAATCAATGAAATCTGTCCCGTGGGTGAAGTTCAGTTTGTGCTTCCTGTGCCTGAAATGGCAGCCATCTTGGAAAATGGCAGCAATAACTTGGACAGTAACTGGGATCTTGTTTGTGCGTACGAAGCATTTTAAAGCGTCACACCTGTCTGTGTCTGTGGGTCAGGTCTGATCAGGTCCAGAGTGCGGGGGGCCGACGCCGCCCGGGCAGGCGTCCTCACCTTCCTGGACAGCCACTGTGAGGTCAACAAGGACTGGCTGCCCCCCCTCCTGCAGAGGATCAAACAGGTGGGTGTGTGTGTGTGTGTGTGTGTGTGTGTGGGGGGGGTCAATAGCACCATGGGGGAAAATAGCCGTCGGTCTGATTGTCTCTCATTAAGAAATAAGTGCTGCACTCCCCCCCCCCTCTCCTCCTCTCCTCTCCTCCTCCTCTCCTCTCCTCTCCTCCTCTCCTCCTCTCCTCTCCTCCTACTCTCCTCCTCCTCCTACTCTCCTCTCCTCTCCTCTCCTCCTCTCCTCTCCTCCTCCCCCTGGTCTTTTCTCTTACATCACATTTCTTTCCTTAAACCTCTTCTCCTCCTTTCTCTTCTTCCTTTCTTCACCTCCTCTCTAACCTTTACTGCTCTTCACACCTCCTCTCCTTGTCTCTCCTCCTTTCATCATCCTCCTCTTCATGGCACCTCTGTTTGTTCAGCTGTATTTCTTCTCCTTGCTGTCCTTTGCTCCTTTCTTTTGCCTGTACCTCCTCCTCTGTGCTCCTCTTTCCTCATGTCACCTCCTCCTTTTACACCCATCATCTCGTTCTATTGTCTTTCCTTTAGTCTCCTCTCACCTTCCCTTCTCCTTCCCCTCTTCATTTTCTCAGCCCCTCCTCCTCCTCCTCCCCTGATGCATCAGTTCAACAGTTGTTCTTTCTGATATTAACGACCTTTGATCTCCGTCTACAGAGCAGCGATCGATCAGTAAAACCAGCACTGAGCCTGATTTGTTTCATCATCCATATTCATACTCACGCTGTGTGTGTGTGTGTGTGTGTGTGTGTGTGTGTGTGTACCTGAGCCATTTGTCACTGTCTGTCCACTCACTCTATTGTCACACATTCAGATTTAAATGTATGAGGTATTGATCCAGGTGAACACACACACGCTCGGGCAGAACCACAGACCAACGTAAAGGCCTGTTCCCTTCAAAATAAGAGTCTGTCTCAGCGATGGAGAGGGCTGAGGTCCGGGTGAACCTCTGCTCTGCTTTCAGCATCACACTCTTTTATTCGGAGCTACGTTCATGTGTGAGGGAAAGTTTCCTCCAGTCTTTGACATGTTGCTGCTGGATGTCAACAAACGAATCATTGTTTTATCATTAATGTCAAACGACTCTTGTAGTTTAATCAGTCAGTAAATAAATTCCTTTAATGCTAATTGATTCTCCGCAGCGCTGACTCAGCCCACATCCATCACATTAAAGTGTAAGCGGTTCTTGTTCTCCACACATCTGCATCTGAATAATAAGATGTGTCAGTTTTGTTAGTCAAAAACTGGTTCACACTGTTCGTGTCAGGAGAGGATGGTGAGTGGGGTTCGTTTAGTGACAGAGCAGATTTGCTGCTTTTTTATGTTGCATTGTGGAAAAGTTTGAATCTATTACATATAGTTGAATAAAATAAATATGAGAGGACTAAAAAAATGAATAATAAATAGTGAGTAATGAGAGATTTCAGGTGGATTCCCAGTGTGATGCATTTCCTGATTGAAAAAGTTCATCTGCAGGATAAAGTTACAGACTGGTCCAGCAGAGAGCAGGAACATACGTCTCTCTGAGATTAAAGATACAGCTCAAAGAACATACAGTTCCACTTTCTTTAGATCTAATCAATCCTTTATTCCAGTCAACACAAACAGGTTCAGCTGATCTCAAGATTAAATATTGAGATCAAAAGTAAACAAATAGAAAATCAGATAACAGCAGCTGAATTCTCCACAGAGGTTTCCTCCTCCACAACAAACAGACCAGTTTAAGTTCCACACGACTAAAATCCTTCATCTGCTTATAGAATATAGAATATATATATATATATACACATATATATATATAGAGAGAGAATATTATATATGATATATATAAATATAGAGTTGAAAACCATCAATGTGTAAAAAGTGAATCTTAAAAGTCCTCGCTGCAGTCGGACCCAGTTCGAGTCCCGCATCAGACGGCCCTTTGCTGCATGTCATTCCCCCTCTCTCTGCCTCCCCATGTCCTGTCTCTCTCTACTGCACTGTCAATAAAGGCATAAAAGGCACAAAAAAATAATCAAAAAAAAAAAAAACTAGATTAGAGTCAACAACACAACACAACACTGACACATGATCAAAGGATATGATGTCACTGACAGGCGACCAACAACTCAACAACATATAGAACACAGGTCTAGTTGTTTTTAGACATTTAATGTGTAAAAGTTACAGATTTTAACTTTAAATAAAGTGACTGCAGCTGAAGTCACTCTGAACAACTCTGATCTGTTGTATTGTGGCCTTACGACATGATGATCAATACATCACTGAGGCAGGAGAGATGTATGAAGGATGATGATGACGATGATGAAGATACAGGATGTTTGGGGGTCGGTTTTCCTCATCAAACGTTCTCCTTTCAATTCAGGTGGAAAAAAGAAGAAGAAGCGGCTTAAATTAAGAAATTGCTCCCGAGCGATTTGAGAGTAACACTCATCCAATTACAACAGTAATGTCGCGAATGCTTCACCCCGAGCGCGGCGCGGTGTCATTACCCTAACAGCTATTAAAGCAGATGCGGTGCTTTGTAATGTTGGCTGGAGCTCTGGAGGGATGCAGCCCGCCTCCCCTTCCACTGACCCCGGAGCTAATGGTCCAGAACCGCTCCACCTGCTCTGTAATATCACCGGCTGAAGACGCATCCAGCCGTTTGGCCAAACTAATAGAGGGACACTCCATGATTTAACAGGGAGCTCAAGTGTGTGTGTGTGTGTTGTTATACTTTTATCCTTGTAAAGAGCGAATGGTGCCATCAAGGTAGAAATATGAGAGAAACCACGTACAGACCTGGACTTGGTTTGAGGGTTAAAGAGGTAATAACTAAAGTAAATCCAGGAGAGTCTGATGTTTCTCTGGGTGATTAAACAGGATGGGGGGATGTGGGTGTTTTGATATTTGATCTTTTTATACGCTCATTAGACTCTAAGGAACAATTCTTCAGTCTAAATGACCAGTCACAAATATTAAGCATTACGTATATAATTTACTTAAATGTGCACTTCATTTCTTCACCCTGCAGACGTGGTTTGATCTTGCAGATGAGAATTAAATGGACACTTTTATATTTTGTTCTGATATCCTGTAAAAACGTCTCTCACGTCTCTGCGTTAAGTTTGGAGCTTGGATCAGGACGTGTTGACCACACCTGTGTGCTGTTTAAGGGTTAATTAGAAATGTGATATTGTGCTGTAGTAATTATTGTTCACACACACACACACACACACACACACGATATTAACTGAAGAGTCCAACAGTTTGTTTACTGGTTGAGAAAAGTGCATCGTCTGCAAAGAAAAGTAAAACCAGAAGATGACGTTGATCACAGGGATCAACAAGAAGGACACCAAACTCTGCACACAATCTCAGTAAATGTCACAGTCCCCAAGAGTGAAATAGAATAGAATAGAATAGAATAGAAAAGAGTGGAAAAGAACAGAAGAACAGAATAGAACTGAACTGAATAGAATGGACTGCCTTTCTTGTCATTGAACCCGTCATACAGTGAAATTTGTTGTGCAGCTCCTGAGGACGTTTCACACTTTCATCCATCCACACACACACACACACACACACACACACACACCTGTCCAAGCAGGTGAGTGACAACAAAGCAGCCAACAGATTGAAAAGATATTTTAAAAATAGTGATATAAAGTGCAGTTATGTCTATGAGATATATGAATCGTACAGATGTCGACACAGTGTCGACCTACAGGCGTCCTCTAGACAAACTGGTGTGTTTTAAACAAGAGCAGCATCAACATCTACAGACACTGACGGGATTACTGAACACACACTCAGTCACGGTTTTTTGTACGTGAAAGATGAAAACCTCCTCACTCTGTCAGGTGAAGGCTGAATCGAGTCCTTGTGTGTCGACATTCACTCCGTCATTATTTTTCTGCTGCTTCTTGATGAAATCTGTTTAATTTGAGAGACTTCTCAGCGTTTCTTATTTTCCAGCGGCTCAGTGTTCTGACGTCGTCGCTGGTGAAGTGAATAAAATGGGATTGAATTGCAGTGAACTGAGGCAGAGGTCACTCTCACCTCACTAACTGTGCTGTGTGCACGATTGGTGTTGAATGACTGAAATTCCTTTTAATGTGCTGCAGTGTAATGACCTTGGAACATACACTGTTTCACACACACACACACACACACTGAACACCTCATTTATTGGAGTCTGATCTGCACAGGAACATCCTCTCCTCTTATTTCTTCTTCTCTTGTTTGTCTGGTTTTTCTTTGAAGCAGTTTCTGTTATTTTTACTTCCTGAATGTGTGTGTGTGTGTGTTTTGTGTTTGTGTCCAGGACCCAACCCGTGTGGTCAGCCCGGTCATTGACATCATCAACATGGACACGTTCGCCTACGTGGCGGCCTCGGCTGATCTGCGTGGAGGTATGGAAACGCTCCTTCAGCGTGTCGGTGGATGACAGAGAATCCTCCTGTGTGATGAGTTCATGAACCTGGAACCAGAAACCTTTGAGGCCTTAGTTTCAACAGACGACCTGCAGTGACTTTATTCTTGTGATTTTTGATTTTCTTTAAATTCAGAAACAACCCATGCACAAATGTAATATATGAAGATATACAGAGAAATACCCGAGGTGACGAGATATTATCAGGAGAAAGGACTTTGTTATCTCGACTTAACAAGATATTATATGGGGAAAACAATTTTTCTGTTATCTTGACATAACGAGATATCCTCAGGAGAAAAGGATTTTGACTGAACCTCATCCACTCAGTCGCAGTAACACTCCTCCTTAGCAACAGTCCTCCGTCTGCATCTGATCTCTGATTAACAGAGACATTATAATGAGGAAACAAGCTTTGTTATCTGGAGATAAAGGGATAATTATCTCGTTATCTCGGGATAACGAGCGTTGTTATCTCGAGATGAGTATGGCCTTTCTCTGCTTCCGTAGTTTTGCTTGTTGAAGAGCGATTGTGTTTAAATCTTGGAAAGCTGAAGCTGACTGGCAGCAGTGAAGGTGAGGACGCAGGTCTTCTCTCTGGTGAACTGAGCGGCAGTTACAGACGAGCTGAAGCCAAATGACCTGATAAAACATCAGAACAAAACAGCAGCTGTGTTCTCCGCTCGTCTCCCTCCGTCATCCCTCGCTCTGTCTGAAGCCGTCTCCCCTGAGAGCTCCACAGCCCCTCTCTCTTTCCATTAGCCCGTCTTCTTCCAGTCCTCTTCTCCTGGAAACAGCAGTCTGCCAATCAATGCTGATAATAGCCCTGTCCACTACACACACACACGCACGCACGCACGCACGCACGCACTCACACACCAACGCACGCACGCACGCACGCACACACTCACACACTCACGCACGCACGCACGCACGCACACACCAACATGGGGATCGATGGTGATAGTTGGGCTCACAAAGGACATTTTAATTATAGACGAAGTCGTCCTTCATAATATAAAAAAGATGGTTACAAGATGGACTTTCATTGATCCACACACACAGACACACAGACACACACACACACACACATGTTGAGACACACAGACACACACACACACACACACACACATGTTGAGACACACAGACACACACACACACACACATGTTGAGACACACAGACACACACACACACACACACATGTTGAGACACACAGACACACACACACACACAGACACACAGATGGGGGATGGGAGTGCTGTGGCAGCAGCTCCTTGGCCTGCTGTACTGCCATATCAGCAAACACAAACACACACACACAGAAACACATGGGTTATTGACAATTAAAAAGACACAGATCAAATCAAACTGAACTGATTGATGTTAATATATAAATTCCTTGTTTTCTTTTTTCTGAGTTTAGCTGCTGATTTTGATCATTTTCCAGATGAAATATCACCGTGTGTTTTCAGGATTCAAGAGAAAACTGAATCTGTTACAGCTGCCTCCTGTTCACACCTGCTTCCTTCATACAGCGTTTTCCTTTAAAGCTCCTCCAGTGTAAAGGTCTGTGTCCATGTGTAGTGTGATTATAGATCAGCTCTAGCTTCTATATTAATACTGTGAAAGTATCAAAGCCTCAGTCCACAGAGAAATGCACACAGCCTGTATTCAGAAACTGAGCCTTAAAACCAGCCGTCAGGACTTCTGGAACTTTGTGATGTCACAACAAAGCAGTCACCAAGCCCCGCCCACCTGGACCCACCGTCCAAACCTTGCAGGATTTGGCTCAGAGCCTCCTCTCTTCTGATTGGCTCTCCGACCTGTTGTTACTAGAGCTGCAGAGAGAAGCCTGAGAGAGGAGATGTTAAACTACACTGAGATGGTTTTTATATCTTCTGGATCAACACTTCAGATAAAACACAGAAGAAGAAGAAAATATGGAGCTTTAAATCTAGTGAATCCCTGGTACAGATTTCTTGTTTGATATAATATATATGTATATGGTTGAATGTAAATGTGTTTATTGTGTTTGTTCCTCCTCACTCAGGTTTTGATTGGAGCCTCCATTTTAAGTGGGAGCAGCTGTCACCAGAACAGAGGGCTCGCCGGATCGACCCCACTCAGCCAATCAAGTAATTCACACACACACACACACACACACACACACACACACACACACACACACGTGTACACACAACCTCAGAGCTGATGAAGTAAGTGTAGAGGAGCAGAAAGA